GATCTTACTCGATTGCCTCAGAAGTGCCTTTATTCATTTGAACTCTCAGGAAAACGAACGCACAAACAGTCTCTTGTAGGCTCATTCCTTTTATATAACAGAGTGTGGTTGGCACGTAATTGCTCCGAACAATGCCGCTGGTGTTCCCTGAGTTGGATGATGGACAATTCTGAGATTATCCGTTTTGGTTACTTACTATATTTGCTGGCCCACTGCGGACTACGGTGGTTGCTTATCACGTTATCACATTTGCTGTGCCATTGCGAACTCAGGCAATTCCGAGATCATTTTGCAATTCCGAGAAAGAGAATTTTCTAATTAAAAGCACGAGACGTTTTTGCGGTCTAACCTGAGCAGATCGGTGAGCACTCGAACATCTGTGACAATTCCGCTCATTTCAGGAGTGTAATAGTTGCGACGTTCGCCGACCGCATGAATCATTAGACGGGTGGCGGATGTTTCGTCGTTCAAAATTAAATAGATCAGCGCGCCAATGTAATTCAAACCCTGAAACACAAGCGCCTCCAGACTCAACACTTCATTTAGCAAATGCATACTGAATTGCATGCGCTTTAACGCGCAGTTTACTGCGATACTTTTAAGGTAATATATTTTTATCTGGTTGTTATAATGGGTTACCAAGTGCCTCAAATCACTTTGGCCGTGTGCTAGCAATTTTTTTATTGCGACACTGATGACCTTCTGTGTCTTCTTTTAGTGCTGTTGGGGCACCATTCAGTAATCCGTTTTGTCAGTTTTGAAATTGTCACTGACGAACGTCCAAAGTTGAAGAGAATGGAAAAGATGCCAGATACATCAACGGTGAGCAGAAATGTGACTATGAAGACACTTATTCAAAGTATCAAAGTTAGTGCAGTCGTTTAAGTTAAACCATGCGGATGACCACCTGATGAAATAGATGGAGGAGACTAAGCAGGTTTTAGCAACCAGGTTGACCCTGGAAGCCTAAATGGTGAGAGTGCAATAGATAACAATGTGAAAGAAGGAGATAAGGGCGAGATAAGACGTTTCGATCCATTAAGTCACATACGCCTTAACTCAGCACCGCGACAGGATTTCGTCAGTATGACGGTCGCGGTGCTTAAAGAAGGGAAAGAAAAGCGGAAGACGACAGAAAGAAGCAAAAGGAACGAAGATCTGATGGTGGGATTAGATGGAGTAAAAGTAGTGTGAAGCAAGGGAAGAAGAGGGAGAATGAGAAAGGTTTTAAAAAAAGGCCCGTTTAAAAAAAGAGAGAAAGATTTAAAAAAAGAAAAATTTAAAAAAGAACTTAGAGAAAGGAAAGAAGAGGAACTTAAAGGATCAATCGCGAATCTCGATCATGCAGGTTTTATTACCGGAATTATTATATGCAGAGCCGTTTTCATTAGGATCCTTACTTCCCGTTGCAGTAGCCATGAGTGGAAAAGGAAAATAAAGCGGGAAGAGGAAGACATACGAATCAGGAAGAATGCAACGCTGAAGACGCACAAATGTGATGACAAACAATGCATTAAACGGGGGTAATAAGCTTCAGTGGATGGAAAGTACTTGGAGAAACGGTGCCTTTTTCTATGAATAAAAGTGCAAAGCAGACGGTTAATAGGATAGGGAGAAAGACCCTTAACGGAGTAAAGAAAGGAGGCGGGGTGTCGCGGCAGTGGGACCTTGTAAAGTGGACTCAATATGCAAGCATCTAATAAGCTGGCTGCAAATCGTGCCTGCATGAACTGAAAGGTGCACGTTATTCCGAAGCGAAGAGTGCTTAGTAATGGGGGAGGCGAAAAGACCGGTTTTGCAACAGAGTGAGGAGGGCAGTTGCTAAAATTTGGCTCGGCTCGCCTCGGCCAGCCTCGGCAGCTGCACGGGTTGCCACTTTAATGGCAAATGTGTAGAGAGGGACCAGGAGGGGGAGCAGGAAGGGAAGGCACGGGGAGGGGCGGGGGGAGGGGAGGGGGGAAAGAGGACGGGAGGAAAGGTGGGATGGATGGACAGGGGGGACTGGAGAAGGGAGGTGCAGTGGGAACGGATGGGGAGAGGGGGATGAGGGAAGCGAGGAGAGGGAGAAATAAGGAGAGGGAGGGGGCTGCCTTGTGAGGATGGTGACCGCGGAGTCGGAGGCAGTGGGGAAAGAAGTGGTGGGGTGAGTTGAGTGGGGACGTGGTGTGGCCACGTAGGGAGAGGGGCTGATGAGTGGATGGAAGAAGGATCCGTGCGCTAGTTTTGACGCGGATG